TAGGTTTATAAAAGATCACATGAAAGTTGGGAGGGAGAAGTGCTGGGGCAGATAGGGAGGAATTGGAGATAGATCAGAACACATTATATGCTCGCTCGACATTCTTAAACAAAAAAAGTGGAAAGAGAGAACTGACTCCACACAATTGCCCTCTGACTTCCACATATGCCCACAGACATCATAAACACATACACACACACACACACAGAGAGAGAGAGAGAGAGAGAGAGAGAGAGAGAGAGAGAGAGAGAGTTAAATTTTAAAGGGGATGGTAAGCTCCCAAAGGGCCGAGAAAACTCAGGGTGGGAGTAAAGGAGTAGAGAGACCAGCAAAAACGAGGTGAGAGCCAGTGGAAGGCCCTAGCATGGGTCATAAGAGCTGCCATGGGATTTTTGGTTTGCCATGTTGCAGCCATTGCCTCACCCGTCTAGTGCATGCCAGTTGTGCAAGCCATATCATTTTAATTATTCATCTATAGTGTTAACTTGACTGAATTTATAGACACCTGGGAGTCACAATTCATAGACACTTCTGGGCTTGTCTGTGAGCATGTTTCCAAAGAGACTTAAGTGAGGAAGGAAGCTCTGAATGTGAGTGGTACTGTTCCAGGAGGTGGAGACTCTGACTGAATAAGAAGGGAGAAAGGGCAGAGCATCACCACCTCTCTCCAGTTCCTGAGTAGATGGAATGTAAGCTGGTGGACTGCACCCTCCAACCATGAGCCTAAGAAGCCTTCCTTGAGTCACTCTTGGCACGTATTTTGCCAGTGGCGTTTTCTTTCAGTGAGCTACTGAGGGACATTTCAATGGGGAAGAACCACCGTGGAGGCCCCCTTGACTAATTGCACCCATGTCCCTCTTGCTTGGACACATTTCCTCAAACAGTTGCCCCGCCTGGATTCCCTTTCAGCATCTCTCTGCTTCTAGCTCCATTCGAACTCTCTTCTAAGACCTGCCTTAAATCCTGCCTCCTCCCTTCAACCTTTCCCTCAGTGATCCTCAAATTGTAGTTTAAATGATCGCCCAAGCCACCTTTGTGTTGAGGGGGAAAATGAAGATGGGCTCAGACCCGTTGATTGAAACACTACAGCGCCATCTCCATGAGCAGAGATTTCTGTAGCACGTCACTTTGGGGCCCCAGATACCTATAGTTTTAACAAACTCCCTGGTGCTTTTGCTGCAAAAGCTGCTTGGCCACATTTTGAATTGACTGTCTTCTGATGGTTTACAGTTCTGCATCGTTCTCAACTATGTGGCTGATGCTATCATGTCTGCCCTGTACTCCCAATGGGACCACACAACATCAAGCCTGACAGTTAAGATGCATACAGTCCTTCCCCACCCCTGTTCGTTACCTTTTTAATCCCCTCCTCATGTACAACATACAGTTATAAGGGGCAATGTAGTGCATTCCTGCTGAGCTCCTGGCCTGGTTCCAGAGAATAGCACCTAGCCCTAATCCTTCCTTTGTTTAACCACACCTTTGTTTCTCTTATCTTTTGCTTCTCTTATTGCCCTATGTGAATCTTGTCTGAGAGTCAAGGATCAGAGAGTTCCCCAAGGACCAAAGGACTACGCAAAACTTGGTCCAGGAAACCGGGAAAACCGAGGTACCTGAGAAATCAGGTAATTTGCACTTGGCATTTGGTCTCTGGGAGCTCCTTTTAGGTTGCTTTGAAGGTACAGAAATTAACTGGCTAATCTGTAAATAGAGAGTAAATAAAAATGCCCTAGGCGAAGGGAAAGCTTCAGTCCTTCGAGGCTGGACCCCCGTGCAGCCATGAAAGGCTATTTTCATTCTTAAGATGCCTCTGAGTCTTCATTCCGTGGACCTGCGTGAACCCACACATCCGTGCCTCACACAGCGGCAATGAACAAACATTTGTTAGAAACATAAGCCAGTGTGGTTCTGCACTTTCGTAATTCTAGCACTCAGGAGGCCAGCCTGAGCTACATATCAAGTTCCAGACCAGCCATACCCTGTCTCAAAAAGTAAAAATAAGTAAAACTAAAATCCCTTGCTTACTCCTTCTCTCATGTGTTGACTATCTCTCTATTTACACCTTTCCCTCCTTCCTTCCTCTCCTCCTCTCTCCTTCCTCTGTTTCCCTGGAAAACTTAATTAATACACAATACCAAAGTAAAGGAAGTTTGTAACAGCAAGGACTCACTGAATGAAAGGCCTTAAGAAAAGCTCTAGTGAGAGACAAATACACTTGGAGTGTGTATATAGAAAAATTTCCGTAAAGGAGAATAATGAAAAATACATAGATCTTATTTTTATATTAAAATATACATGTATATACACATATGTAAATATATTGAAATGTGTGCATATATACACATATATTTCTCAGAAAAGTTAGGTGTTAGTAGCGATCATTTCAAATTAGTTGTATTTATTTTCTTTATACTTTTTTCTATATTTTTTCATTGTTATTTATGTGATTTGTTTTTAATAGAGTAAAATTCAGACACTACATCTAGTAAAGAATATGTATTAATTGTATTAATGATGCTTAGAGGGGAGAGTTGATATTAGGTTAGATGGGACATCTTTCATGTGGAATAATGGTTTTCTAGTTTTCTGAATGGGATAGTATTTTTTTTTATTTGTCTCAGATATCCACAGATAAGAAGGATAATCAGATCACTTGGGACATACTTTGAATTCATTATCACATTTTTTTCCTAAATACTCAACTCCAAAGTAGTGTGGATTAAAAATAATCAAACAACAACCATATCTAGTTATAATGCCGGGCGGTGGTGGCGCACGCCTTTAATCCCAGCACTCGGGAGGCAGAGGCAGGCGAATCTCTGTGAGTTCGAGGCCAGCCTGGACTACAGAGTGAGTTCCAGGGAAGGCGCAAAGCTACACAGAGAAACCCTGTCTTGAAAAAATCAAAAACAAAACCAAAAAAAAAAAATACACACAATTTATCTGTACTCAATAATAAAACAATAATAAGCCAGACATGGTGATACGATTCTGTAATCCTATCACTTGGAAAGCAGAAGCTAGATTACACATTCAAGGAGTCTGGGCAGTGTGTTAAGTTCCAGGACAGCTTGGCCAACAAGGTAAGGCTATCTCAAAAACAAACAAACAAACAAACAAACAAACAAACTGGGCATGCTTGTTGTCCCAACACATGCAAAGCAGAAACAGGAAGATTAGACATTCAAGACTAACCTCAGCTATATAGCAAGTTTATGGCTAGTCTGAGCTGCAGGAGATGCAATGTAAAAAAACAAACAATAAAATAAATAAATAAATAAATAAATAAATAAATAAATAGTAAAAATTATTAAGTAATACTAACACAAAAGCTCTACATGTTTTCCCTTTGGACCAGTATGAATTGCTAAAGACCTCTTTTCTTTATTAAAATTGACATGTGATATATATATATATATATATATATATATATATATATATATATATATATATATATATATTGAGCCCAAAATTGAACTTCTAGGAATCTACCCTGCAGATTCTTATCAAATTCTATGGCTGAGGTGCCACCTGCAGAATTGTTTATAACAGCTAAAGCTAGAGGCAATGTATAGATATGCTTTTCACTAGAGGATGGATTATGCAAACTGTAGTCCATCCAGGGTTTGCATATAATATAATATAATTAATATAATATAATATAATATAATATAATATAATATAATATAATATAATATAATATAAGCATGTGAGAATCCCAAGGGGTTCTGTCTTGGACATGCTAGACAATACTGTGCCACTGAGCTACCTCCACCTATCCCCTCAACCTTTTGAACTGTCGCAGTCAGATGATAGTGAAAGGCACAGCCGAGCGCCAGGACGCTGCAGGTGCACACGGAGAAGCTATGGCACAGCTTCACCTGCCATCGGACTCAGTCCTTCCCCGAAAGCTGAGATCAGGAGAAGGTCATTTGGAAGAGCTGGTGAGGCCTGAAGGGAGATGGCAGGTTAGCTCGGCTGAATCAGGCCTTTCTAACTGGAAGCGGGAGGAAAGCCATGGAGAAAAAAAAAAAGTTCTTTTCTGATTGTTGCCCATGGCACCTATGGAGTTTCTTCTTGATTTTTCATATCACCTACTGTTTATATCACCAGTAAGGAACATTTGTATTTCACTGCATAGTGAAATTAAAATTTGGAAGCCAAATGACACTCACATACCTGTACAGAGATGATTAAAAACTCCTTATCCATGCACAAAATGAAATGAGCATGCAGTGTGAATGCACGTAGAACACTGGGTAAAAACTGAAGCTGGATTTCAGGAGAGGTTGGGGAGATCATGAGGCAACAGACAAGGCAACTTAGAGGTAATGAGGACTTGACCTTTTCATTAGTGACTAGGCCAAGTCTGGAAAGGAAATGAAGGAAAGCAGAGAACAGATTAAGGAGAATGATGCAATTTCTTTTTTCAAACAGGAGCTTATTTTAAGTATTACACATAACCTATTTATAGCCAATATACTTTGACATATCTGTGTTCAAGTCAGAGCCATTTCATCCGTCCTTCTATGTCAAAAGGCAGTCTTCCTTTTGGGCTTTCGTCAAAAATAGAATTGATAATATTCCAGCGGGTGTTATGGGTTGATTGACTCTCCAGTAAAATCATAGAACACAATCACTTAAACCTCGTTCCATCTTAGGGACCTGGGGACTTGCCTGCTTTTAAATACATGATTAGGCCATGTCACTGAACTCCAGCGTGCCTAGATACTAACCATCTTTTCTTTCACCGCTGTTAGGCCTTGCTCTGGAGCATTGCTCATCTCTTTAGTTTGTCAGTGCAGTGGATGTGAACCCTCCAGCTAGCTGGAAGACTTTCACAAGTACAGGAACACCATTGTGATGATGCCAACTGCCTTGGACCCTTACAAAGCAACTTTACCCCCTCTTTCTTCTGTGCCACCTCAAAATGATCAGTGGTGTGACAAGTGAAACATCCCCATGTCGAATTAAAATACGTTTGCCCTCTGAACACTCACCACAGTGTAGTAATTCTTGGTAAGCGGAGCAGTGTCAAATCCTTTGACAGCTTTAGGGGACAGAGGTCTCTCTGTGAAAAAGACATTTAGATAATGTTAATACCAGCTTCATGGTGGACATTTGATAGCATAGGACAACTGACATACTATAAAGTTTCTAAGTGGAAAGATCAAGGAAAGGTACCTTTCTAAGTAAGTGGAAGTATCACTGAACTGCAGAAAGGCAAAGTGCAATCTTCTCGTTAAGGTTTCTCGAGTTCCAAGGGAGGAACAGTTCAAAGAGTTACTACATAGCTAAGAAATGGCAGAGACAGGGCAAGAGTGGCACTCTCAGTTTGGCTTTATTTGTGGAAGTCAGGGTCTTAACTCAATTTATTCCAAATGGGTAAGTGACACCAAAGCTATCCAAGTGTATTTGTCACTGGCAAATTATCACCCAAAGAGAAAAGAACATAATACCAACCATGCCTTTCTTGGGATTGCCTACTGTGCCAACAATAAAATAATCAGAATCTCCAACTTACTGAAAACTTCTGTAAACTGCTCTTCTGTTTTCTATATCATTTTAATATTATTATATTGTATTAGAAAAATGCTGCCCTTCTTTTACAAAGTTATCTTTTTTATTACATGTTTGGTTTTATTTTTTATTTTTTTTTTTTTTGGTTTTTCGAGACAGGGTTTCTCTGTGTAGCTTTGCGCCTTTCCTGGAGCTCACTTGGTAGCCCAGGCTGGCCTCGAACTCACAGAGATCCGCCTGGCTCTGCCTCCCGAGTGCTGGGATTAAAGGCGTGCGCCACCAACGCCCGGTCTTGGTTTTATTTTTTAAGAATTTTTATTTTACCACAATTATCTGCTTTTTAAAAAAATTACTAATTTTTTAATTTTACACACCAACCACAGTTTCCCCTCCTTCTTCCCATCCCATTCCCTCCCCCCACCTCCTTTCTACCCCCCATACCCACTCCTCAGAAAGGGTAATGCCTCCCGTGGGAGTCAACAAAACATGGCATATCAAGTTGAGGCAGGACTAAGCTCCTCCCCCTGCATCAAGGCTGAGTGAGGCATCCCGCCATAGGGAATGGGCTCCAAAAGCCCGCTCATTCACCAGGGACAGACCCTGGTCTCACTGCTAGGGGCCCCACAAACAGATCAAGTTACAAAACTGTCACCCATAATGCAGAGGGCCTAGGTTAGTCCCATGTAGGTTCCCTAGCTGTCCGGTCTAGAGTCCATGAGCTCCCACAGCTGTCACCTCTGATTTCTCTTCAGATCGTATAAATCTTTCGCCTTTTACAAAGTTTATCTTATTCATTAACTCACAACCATTAGATATCCTAGGACAGTCTTCTATTTAAAATAAAACACAAAACAGTCATATTTCTATTTATGAGATAGAGTTTTGCCATGTAACCCAAGCTAGCCTTGAACTCCTGATTCTTCTGCTTCAGCCTCCCAAATTCCTGAATTCCGGGTGTGCATCATCACACCTGGCTGTAAATGTTTAGCAGTATCACTGCATAGTATCTTTCCAGTCTGCACTGTCTCCTTTTCTTCATTTTGCTTTGCATTTCATTATCTTCCTATTTATACACTGCTTTACACCCTTTCTGAAGCATAGTGAGCTACACATGACCAAGTAAGAGTATGTCACCACACATTAATACTTCTCTTTTAAATAGTATTTTCCAAGTTATGAATCTTTTACAGGATAATCCTAAGAATTAAAAATGGGGAAACATAAATATATCGCAATGATTTTCCATTATCCAAAGTTAAGCATCAATCTGAGTAACAATTATGTCCTTTCATTCTTTTTATGCATATGTATGTGTGAACATACATATACGCACACATCTTTTTCTGTAGTCTTGTAACTCTATTGCAATATAGTTTCATAAATATTTCCCATATAATATTGATTTTAACTAATTGCATTAAAATATTCCTAATATTTATTTGCAACTAAGTAGCATCAAAGACATTCTGTTTATCTTTACAACACACTGATAAATGGAGATCATCTTCTTTTACAGAGAGAGAACATGAAACCAGGGATGCAATGTCCTTTCCTAAGGTCATGCAGCTAGGAAACGGCAGAACCAAGATCAAGGCTGAGGCATGACTTGATAAGGAGGGTCTGCTCCCAATCAATAGGATTCCTAAGACAAAACTACTAAAGGGCTTGGTGAACAGCACCGGGCAGAAGCTGATGCAGGACTTCAGTAAAGATTAGAAGTTAAGATTTTTGTTCAATTATTATTTAAACTGATCTTGATAAAAATAAAATTTTTGAGCCTATTGTGGTGGGTCACACTTATAATCCCAGTCCTAACGAGACTGAGACAGGAAGATGGTAATAATTTTTAGACTAGGTAAGGGTACCTAGGGAGCTAATGGTCACCTGAGCTACACAACAAGATTGTCTCAAAAAAAATGAAGAAATGAAGACCACTTTTAAAGTGTAAAAGCAAGGTCCACAGACAAAACACATGGAACATGCCTCATCTCTTTTGATCTCAGAAACCAAGCAAGGTCAAGTCTGGTAAGTACGTGGATGGAAGGTATCAACAAGATGTGGTCACCAATCAGAAGCAAGGCTAAGAAAAGTGCATTCCACTAATGGAGTGCCTGCTAAGACACAGCCAAGGGCAGGAAAGCCTGGAGGAATGCATAATGCCATTGAAACACAATGTGAACTATGCAAAGTACAATGAAGGAGAATCATATACGAAAGAAGTGGATGCTTTAGAGATTTCTTGATGACTGGGGTGACTGAATGCAACGGAAAAAGAGTTAGTTCTTTGAAAACATAAGAGAAGGTAAGGATGGGAGAAACCACAATGCATTACAAACATGTATAAAATTGTCAAAGAGAAAATTTAATGAAAGGCTTACATTATTGTTCAAAAAAATCAATAAAATAATCAAAGCTCTAATAAGACTGTGAAAAGAGTAAGACAGAGAGAACTAATTACCAATACCAGGGGCCTCTAAGATGACTCAGTGGGTAAAGGCCTTTGCCACCAATGCTGACAAACTGAGATTGAGCCCTGGACCCACACAGTGGAAGAAGAAAACTGACTCCCAAAGTTGTCCTTTTGCCTCTGCACGCATGCATGCATACACATACACACACACACACACACACACACACACACACGC